TTGACAAATTTGTTAAGTCAAAGTTAAATCCATTACATTCAATAATATCTTTGATTGAAAAGATATGAAAATAATCTTCTATCCCCAGCTATGGATAAATAGCAGGACAGACTAATTCTATAGCCTAATGGCAACTGGTCTGAGGAGAAGGACAACTCTGAACCAAAAACCTGCAGTTGGTCATTTGGGGACCAGGTCTCTGTATTCGGTTTTCAAGAAGTGTTTGTTTCTGCAAAAGCCTTCACCACTATAATCAAATCATATATTGTGTTAAAAAAATGTTTGTCGGTTCCTAGGAACTGAGTTACAAAAACACACATACATTGAAAACAACTAAAGAGTCCAGTTTGTGTTTGTATATATATATATATATATATATATATATATATATATATATATATATATATATATATATATATATATATAATATATACCATGATTGGTTTTGAAATCAAATCTCACCATATTTGAATAATTATCACCATGGTTGATTTAAAAGATAACTGAAATGATGTTATCGGTCTGGAGGTGGACAATTTAAGCATGTGGCAATTTTAGAAAGTGCTTGGAAATATATACCACAGGTTTATTATAAACCTTGTGAGTGAAATTGGGTATTTACAGAAAACAAATATTTTCTGTAGCTTGTATAGAATCAGTGCCTGCATGAAGTAATAATAACAAGTCATCATGACCGAGGGTTTAAAGTGTGCTGGCCTTGTTCAGGTTGTTGATTACAAAAAAAACATGCTCTTTCCCAGAAACTGTAAATCAGGTCTGCTCAACATAGTTTCAGTATAAACAACAGGCTGGCTCATTCTGGGTTTGAAAAAACCAGAGTCTGCAACTAGGATTGGCTAGCTGCCCTAATAGATGGGTATCTTTATAAAAATGATATATCCATATATATATATATATATATATATATATATATATATATATAGAAGGATGTGTTTTGAATAAGCTGAACCATTGGTTGGAATTTGAAATTGACAAGATTTGTTTTTGGCATTACAAAAATGAAACCCAGGTTTCATAAATAATACACCTTATGCAAATTAAATATGTTAACTCTACATTGATATTGAGTGTGCTTTTCCAATAATACCACAAATATATTATATGTAAATAATATATAAAAATTATTACACATATACATGTGTGTGTGTGTGTGTGTGTGTGTTTGATAAAGGCAATTTTGACAATCCCGTTGGGGCATAGTGATATTATAGAGGTATGTGAGTTGATTGGATGCCTCCTACTTAACAATTTAAATAAATATATAGATCCTAGCAACCATGATCTTTACAGGAATTTGGATTAATTATTGTAGATAAATTAACCCTAGGAAATGTGATGTAAAAAAAGAAACTTCACTAAGTTTGTTAAAAATTGGATTTAACCTGGATATAGAATTAACCTTTGAAGGTTACCCATTACTTGGACATTATGATTAGACTTAGTTATGGTACAATAAATTATGATAGAAAACCAAATATAATCGGTTAACCCACAAATATATCATACGTAGGTTCTATAACCACCAGTGCATATTTTTGAAACAGATACCTAAGAAAAACAGATTATCTACTAACTTCGAATAATAATATTTTTAAAAAAATAAAATAATCTATGAACAAACTCTAAAGAATAGTGGACAAATATTTAAATTAGAATATAATAAATATGAATGATTACCCTAGAACACAAAGTAAAGATAAAAAATTAGAAAATAAAAAAAATTTATGATTTTAACCCCCCATATAATTCAGCAGTGAGAGCCAACATGTTCAAAATATTTTTAGACTACTTAAAGAGAATTTCCCACAAACTAATATGTTCAATAAAATCTTTAATAAAAACTACATCAAATTAAGTTATAGCTGTAAATTATATATATATAATTACATAAAACAATCCATATATTCAGTTAAAAGTAGAATAATTCATCCTTAATTATGGCTAAAAGTATACCTGAAAGCACTTGGATAGATTTGAACAATTTTTATATAATTTATGTTCTAAAAAGAAAAAGAATTATAAGAACACATGAAAAATTTATAAAAATTTAACTACTGCACCTTGTCAGCCATTTTTAATGAAACTTGCATATATATATATATATATATATATATATATATATATATATATATATATATATATATATGGATTATATATATATATATATTTAATGAATTATTTTTTCAATTTTTTCGCTATATCTATGGACATGGGTAGGTAGATGTGTCTATTTTTATCAAGGATTAATCTATTCATATAATACTGACTACCTACTCTAAAATGGCTTTAACTGAAAAGAATTTATCCAATTGAAATATAGTGTGTCTTTGTGTGTCTAATTGATCTCTTGAGGTTTAATATCTGTTTAAACCATTATAACAAAACATTAAGCATCAAGACCTCTGATTCTACTCCTGGAGATCTACCGGTTGCTACTAAATATTTTGTTTCATTCAAAATCTGCGACCTTTATTATAACAATGACATTCCTGTTCACTGAAAAATAATTAAATTTTCTGGCTCTTTGCTTTTTTTTCTGATTAGGTGTCCTTACTCTCCCCCACTTCCCCATTTACTTAAGTAAATGGAAATATAGATTAAATTCTTACTTTTATTTATTTTTTAGCTTTGTGGGGGTGGCCCATTAATACCTTTATGTGTAATTGAGACATAATGGCAGAGAAAAAGTTCTTGAGTCAACTTTTATTTCCAAATGTTAAAGAACTTAGCCTCATTCCATTAGGCTAAACCATTCTTTTTGATTAGCTTCAAAATCAGGCTCTTTGAGTGGGTAGAATTCTTCAGGAAATTAATTATTTATTGTTTCATTTTACTCTTCCTACTTGTGATTTTATATTAACAGCACTTTTTTTTTCTTATCGTCATTTCCTTGTGTTGATTTCAAAAGAAACGAGCATCAAATCTAATGTAAAAAAAAAAAAGAAAAAAACTTTTTTTTCTTAATACATTTTAATTGAAACCTTTTCAGCTTGGTTCTTTTCTCAGTAATTATAAAATTGTCAGCATGTCAATATTACAATCAAGAAACTAATTTCTCTATCACTATTTATTTCTCTTTGGTCTTTGGTTATGTTTTGTTATTTCAAAGATTCTCTAAAATAAAATGGCATCCCAAGAAACATCTTGGAAATGAAAAATGTAACTAATCCATCAGTAGGCACTAAGCCTTGTCAGCCATTTTTAATGAAACCTAGCTTAGTACAGTACAAAACCAAATGGACTATTGTCCTCATCTTTGTCGCCATATTTATCACGTTTCGGCCATTGCATGCTCCAGCCTTCTTCAGGTGGTTAGAATGTTGAACTAAACCCTTTATTTTGCTCACTGGGGTAGAATGTTCTAGTTCCACGTGCCATGTCTAATGGATATCAGTTATCAGATCTCCTGTTAATTCCCCTCTCCAAGTTCTCCACTGCCTTAACCAGGTATTGAACCTGGTCCTGTCACTGGATCTATACTAACACCTTTATCCTTGAGAACATCTGTGTATGAATTTCTGGGTATTATAAACCTAATGTCTTCAGCAAGCTTTTTTACCAGTGCTCATATTGCAATTTTGTTGTTATTATCGTTTTTCTCTGGCACTCCTTATTACTGGTTTCCATATTGAATTCATTTCTACGCTTGGTCGGCTAAGGAGATTTTTGTGACCTGGCATATGTGCTGATTCCTTAAGTTTATGAATTTTCCAATGATGTTCTTTGTCATGTTCTCCTCTATGGGTGGGGTCTTACTCGGGAGAGATATCTGCGAAGTGTCGTCTAGCTTTTGAAAGTTGTCCTGATGTTATATAGACTGCAGATCCTTTGTATTTTCTCTGATAACCCCTTCACATAAGGCAAGCAGACTGTTTTCTGAGTGTTGTTGTCCTCCTCCTGTACCCGTCTATCCCAGTATTTTGGGCCTGCTGCCATGTACCCAGGGTAGTTGTTACGTTGTAGGGTACTACTTATACTGACTATTTCTTTACCTAATTTCTTTGGGTCACCACTTATGAGTTTTGCTTGGACGATCCCTTTCTTTCTGCTGTATGGATGTTGGGAGTTGAAATTGAGGTACTGTCCGGTGAATGTTGGTTTACAGTCTTGAACCCATGCTCTGTTTGGGATATTAGAACATCCAGGAATGGGAGTATGTTGTTACTCTCTTTCCCCATTGTGAACTGTATCGAAGGTCTTATTGAGTTCACATGGTCCAGTAGAACCTGAGCATCTTCCTGGTGTGGCCAGAGTATGAAGGTGTCATCTACGTACCTTAACTCTATAGTTGGCTTTAGAGATATAGATTCTAATGACATTTCCTCAAAGTATTCCATGTATATATTTGCCATTGCTAAACCCTCATCCTGTCGATATATGTGTAATGCCATTCTGAAGTGTGTTGTTTGTGTACAGAAAGTCAACATCTCTATCAGATTATCTGTTAGAATACTGGTCCGTTCTTCTAGGGATGAGTCAGAGGCCAATCTGTCTGACTACTGAGAGTGCCTCCTCCGTGGGTACGTTGGTGAACAAACTCACCATGTCCAAGCTTACCATCTGGTTGGATAGGATGGGAACATCTTTGATTATTTCCATGAAGTGGGTGGAGTTTTGGACATATGAAGGAGACTTTCCAATCAATGGGTCAATTATATCTACAAGGAAGTGACTCAGACGGTGGCGCACAAAGCCTTGGCAACTAACAATCAGCCTGACCAGAATACCATCTTTGTGAATTTTAAGAACACTGTATATGTAAGGTAGCTTGGTGTAACGCTGTGATAACTGCCTATAAGAATGTTTTTAAGATAATAATGATTTACTGATACAATTCCTACTAATTAACCTATAGTTGGGGGAGAAGAGGTGGATTCATACCTTTCCCAAGAGTATTTGCCCATAAGTGAATATAACGAACCAGACTGAAATTGGAAAATGTCTCTTTGATTTCCAGTTCCAAACCACGCATCCGCAGTTACAGTATCTGGTATTCCCAAGTGTTCACTCATCTAGGTACTGTCCTGGCTCGACATTACTTAACTTTGGTGATCATACAAGAACCGGTGTTTCAACATATGGCTGTAAACCTGAAAAAAAAACAACACCTGGTTTCTCCTTTTTACCTTTAAGGACATTTTTTAAGCTATTCATAGAGAAATCTCACAAATAGGATTGCTCTCAAAGAGTTGTATCAAAAGCCTGTACTACATTTGTTAGACAAATGTAGTCCCAATTTATTGAACTATTTGGCAGTACATTCACTGGGTAATTACACACACAAGGAATTACTGTGTATTTCCGCATATAAGTCAACCTTGAGATAAGATGAGGTCAAAAAATAGAGCAAATTTTCATGAATTTATCCTATACCTGTAGTATAAGATGACTGCTTATTGATTATATAAAGATGGTGCATTTGGAAATGTTGTTACTTACTTTATCCTTAGAAATTCAAAATAAATGAAATCACAAAACCGATTCTATATCATGTTTTTCCTATACATGTCTCCTAAAAGGGAAACTATTGTTTTGCTTACATTTCGTCATGTGTTCTCTTGTGAATACTGATTCTTCCTCTTTTCCTATATCTAAACAGTTAGAAACAGCCTAGTGTGCTAATGGCCATTTACTTATACTTCATCAACAATCACAAAATACCGCTTGTAACAGTATGATAAGGTATGATAATAGTATATTACATTGCTGTGAGCACAATCATCACTCAATGTTTACATTTTCTCAACTGAACTTGCATGGATACAAATTGATTTCATTGATATGGAATTATTCTTTGAATAGGCAATTTATTATGAAGTTATGCCAGTCATATATAAGGTAGAAATGGTTTTATTACTTTTATTATCAATTTATTTGATAATATGAATCTTTTCATATATGTCATTAGTTATTGTACAGATGCTGAGGTTAGCTTATTGACAAACATCACTCAGAATTTAATGTTTCTTTTTTAGAATTGTAATATAAGACGACCCCTAATTTTTAAGGGTGAATTTTGGGACTTAAAGGTCATCTTATACACTGAAATATACAGTAATTGATTTAATTAATAATGCAACATGATTTCTTAAATATTTTAAATATTATATTTAGCAGAGACCAGTGTTTGATTAGACATCTCTGTTTTGTAAGCTGTATAAATCTGTCTACCAGCCTGTGCATTTGAGAGTCTTAAAATAATTGTGACTTCCAGCAGGGTTCGATCAAACCTGCATCCTCCTTGTAAGTGAAACTACCATATAGCCACATGTGCTTTTAGAGCGCTCAGCCGTGGAAGGTTTTCACAGTCAAGCAAAATTCAATTACCACTTACCTCTCCCCAAAATGAAGGTCAGCAAAGGCAGGCTGCAATACATCTGAACAATAATTTTTTTTTTTTTAAATTGGGTAATTGAACTTTATTTGACTGTGAATGTTTTTTTATAGTTGAACAGTCTTTAAGAACATCAGGCTTAATGGTGGGTTCCCTTACAAGGGGTTTTCAAGTTTGAAACTTCCCAGAAGGCACATTGTCTTTATTAAGACTCTTGAATGCACAGGCCAGTAGATATAAATTTACACTGTTTAGCAAACAGGAATGCCTATTGAGACACATGTCTTCAGTAAATATAATTTTATATATGGATAAAGACAAAAAGAAAACTTATCTTAGTTGACACTTTTCATTCTCTGATAGTTACCATTCTCTTTTAATAAGTGTGACATACTTTAGATCAAAGTTGTGGCTGAATTTAATTTTATGTATGATTAATGTATTTGAGGGAGGCAGTGGAGTAATGGATAGCAGCTCGAATTAAGGAATCAGAGAGCTGAGTTTGAATTCCAGTCGAATCCATTACATTCACTTACTTGGGAAAGGTATAAACCATTTTCTTCTCCCCCCAGCTATGGGTAAATAGCAGGATAGACCAGGTTCTAAAGCCTTGGATGGTAACTGGTCTGCCGCAGAAAGAAATGGCAACCTACTGCAGGAAAAAATCTGCCTTGTCAGTCATATATCAAAAGATACATGATCGCATAAGTGGTTATTACGCATGGTGCATAACTGAATGTATTTGATAAATTTGTGTGTGTGTGTGTTGTGTGTGTGTGTATATATATATATATATATATATATATATATATATATATATATATATATATATTCATAAGGTGTGCTATATTTATGGGATTTTTTAAGATCAATATCAGAGATAGTTAGTGTTGTTTAAATAAAAGTGAACATTGAAATCAACACTTAGAGGCGACAGGCTGTTGTTTCATGCTAGACGCAATCGTCTGGCCACAAGTGTTCATGTGACCTGATGATTGCATCTAGCATGAAACAGCCTGTCGCCTCTAAGTATTGACTTCAATATTCACTTGTATATATATATGATTAATGTGAGTAAAATTTGTCACTTAGCTGATTGATGCTATCTTCAGCTTCCTGATTCCAGAGTTTCATCAACTGACCTGTTCATTCACTCTTCGGTGGTGGTGGGGGGAGATATCAGCAATTTACTGCTTATATTTTTTCAATTTTTTATCTTTTATACACGTTTAGCACTGGTGTAAGTTTTTTTTAGTATTCTCTGTGCATGTGTGTGTTCCTGCCTGCATGAATGGGCATCATGATCAAATTATCCCTTTTCCTTTTTTTGTTTTTATGTGTAGCTGACTTCTCTAGACATTTGACATATTTATTTTTATTTATTTTAGTTTTTGGCTAGAGAAGTTGTATTTCCTTTATTTACGTTTTTATATAAATAACTGGTATTAATGCTTAGGCAATAATTATTTTACATTATATATATATATATATATATAATGATACCAATGATGTTAATGCTTAAATGGTAAATACTTATACATACACATGCATACACACATTTATATATGTTTACTGGGTTATTATTTCGTTTTTTTTAAATTGGGTTTGGTGATATTATAAGTATTAATTGTTGGAGGTTAGATTTATAATTAAATTTATTTATTATTGTTAGAATTTACATGCATATGTCTGTAATTAAACACCTGTGTATATGCGCATGTATATCTATTCATGCAGGTACATATACACTTAAGTCTATCTTTAAGTTTTAATTTTTTTAAATATCATTTTTTACACATACATATATATATATATATATATATATATATATATATATATATATATATATATATATATATACTATGCACTCCTGCATATCTACACATGCACCAGTTGCACATTTATATAATTAAAATATCATAGATCTTTGCTTATATCATATATTATAGTTTATCGTTTATTTAAGGTTTCATTTTTATTTTTATTTAATGGTTAGTAGTGTATTCGTTTTTGCCTTGGTGTTATGTATTGAGGTATTAGTTATGGGGGTTGGTAGATTTGTTCATTCTTTGGTGTTTGTGTGTCCATATCCATATGTGCATATATACACACATACACGTATAGGTGTGTCTGGTAATATTTGTTCATTTATTTATTTATCAGTTAATTAAGTTTGTTATATTTATTTCTTTTATTTATTTAAAGTTTATATTTTTTTAAGTTTGTATTTATTTCTTTTTGTTTATTTTTAGTTAGTGTTTAAATGGCAAAATAAGTATTTATTTATATGCCTACATTTACCCATTATTTCAGTTTTCTTGTTTAATAGTTTGTTTTGGTTTTTAAAACTAATTATTGCTAATTTTTCCTCTAAGCATAATTTACAATTTTTACTGTTAATGCTGTATCAGGCTACTCTTCTTATAATTTCTCATTTTATTTTGGTGGGGATATTGTTTTTTTCCTTTTTGACTCCATATGCATTTCATCTTTTAACGGACAAAAGTACCTCACAAGAAATAAATTTAAAAAAAAAACATTGTTCTGGATATATATAAATATATATTGTTATCTCATTCATTCACACACACACACACACATATATATATATATATATATATATATATATATATATATATATATACACAAAAAAAAAAAGGAAAGCTTTTTTTATATCAATGTGCTTTGTTTCTTAGGAACTTTAGCAAGGTAAATTTTACCTCTTTTATTTATATTGTCTTTACAGATATGTTATTTATATCTGAATTTTATATATATATATATATATATATATTTATATTTATATTTAAGATATATATATATTATATATATATTTTATATCAATATTAAAAATAGAGCATTAATAATATTATATGAAAAGATTACTTAACTTTTTAATATCAATTTTATCCTGACTTCAAAGTTTCTTGTTAAAATTTCCAGTCTTAAGGGTGTTGTGGATTTTATTATTAAAGTATTATTTACTTTGTTACTTTAATGATAATATAGCATAATAAAACAATTAAAATATTAATTAAAAATATTAACTAAATTATTATAATTTAATTAATAATAAAAAATTAACAAAACAATAATATTACAATTTAATTAATAACATAAGGTAAAAACTTCTATGTAAACCATAAAAAATTTAATTTCGAAGAAAAACTTAAAAACTGGAAGAAAAATCTACAGCTGAAAAAATGAAAGACGTAAACAAAAACAAAATTTCATCAACATGCGTTTGTAAAAGAAAGTTAAATTCATGAATATGTATATGTACAAAACTGAGTAAAAAAAAAAGTGGATTAAAAAAGACGGAACAAATTGAAAAAAATTGGAGATACCATTTAAAGCCACAACCCCTGAAGACAGGAAATTTTACCAAGAAACTTTGAAGTTGGGATAAAATTGATATTAAGTTAAGTAATCTTTTCATATAATATTATATATATATATATATATATTCTTTTTTTTAAATGCCATGAACCATCAGGATCAGCACTCTCCACAATTTCCTTTTCTTTCTTATCTGTAAACCTCTAGAAAATGTCTGCAATGCAAAAAAAAAAAAAAGAAATAAATACGTTGGTTGCACTGAGGGCCAATTTAAAAAGTGGTGGTATAATCATACCTCATCATTTAGAATACCAGAACATAAGTTCAATATGAAACTGGCAAACTACCATGGGAACTTTAGAGAAAAATTTATAGAAGCCCGGTCATTGAGTGGAGTATTTTACGGAATGTAAAAGCTAGTAAATTGAATGCCGACTCATATAGACTGTGTCAAGAGTAGAAGCTAGCTATTGCAACATACAAGGCTGCTGGTGAGTTGTTGCAGGGAAGGCCTAAAATTATGGCCAAATTTAGGCTCATCAAGAAGTTAAATTTAGGGCTATACAAACCTGGATGAAGTTGGAAAAAAGAATTTTTCTTTCTTTGTCTCCCCTCCCCCCCTTCATTTCTTCCACTTTCACTCCCACCATTACTTCCGGTGCTGCACTAAGGCACTTAAGTTCTTGTGTTGTCTCTGATTAATTTGCTAAACCACCTTACAAGACCATGGCCACTGCAGTAGTGTTCTGGTCTATCTTTTTAAGATATTAAATCGCTCTACAGGTTTGATTTTTCTTATTTGAAATTTAGCACTTTTTTAATATGTATGATTTTAACAAATATTTTAGTGTTTGTTTAGTTTGATGTGTGTATATAATATATATATATATATATATATATATATATATATATATATATATATATTTATAATTATTCATTTTAGGATATAAAACAAAAACATGTTAAAAATCACTACATGATTAAAACCATGCTTCAACACCACAAATGTGACTCCTCAGGTGATAGCAAGCCACTGGTGAGCGAGAGATATTTAGCTCTACTCTGTATTGGGCCCTATTTTAAATTAAATGTTACGTAGAGTGTAATTATACTCCATTTGTTCTTATTTTACCTGAATATATATATATATATATATATATATATATATTAATATTTAAAATTAAAATATAAGTAGATATTTTTATATATAGTGCTGTATATTAAGAATTTAAAAAATAATATTAGAAAATAGAGCATCAATGATATTAAAATTTACTTAACAGTAAATATCAAATCCTTTTTGGTTGTTGTATCCCCGATTACAAAGTTTCTTGGTGCCAACCATTCTTCAAGAGGTTCTGTATTTAAATGTGTATATTTCCATTTTTTTTTTCAAAAAACTTTTAAAAAAAAATTGGAAATATACCCATGGAAATATTGTTTTAATAGTTACTTTGTTTTTAATAAATTCATTTCCTTTGTGCCTTGAAAAAGTCCACATTGGACGAAATGCATCAGCTAATAATACAGTTTTCCTGTTGTCTTTTACCTTTATACATATGTGTGTGTGTAGACAAAAATATAAAAATACTTTTGGGATTGCAACAACAACATCTGAGAAGTTAATGAATATTTTTCTGATTAACTCCTTGGATTAAAGTTCTCATGACAAATTGTTTAACTTTATAAATGTCAGTGTGGGAGGGTGTGACATGTAACCTAAATTTGTTTAATTTTAAGAGGGTGTTGGAAAGCCAATTTTCAAAATATGACCAAACATCAAAAATTCATTATTTGAATCCCTTACTGGCTAAGCCCGGAACTTTTCAGCACCCCACATATATGAAATGTTTATTTGGCTCTCTTTCTGTCACTCACTTCATCTTATCTACTCCCTCTCCCTTTAGCACAATATTTTTCCCTTTCTCTTTCCCATTGATCTCTTTATATGTCTTTCTTCTTTTTCTTTTTTTTTTTTACTTTTTCTCACTTACCTTTTCTCTATTACTCCCTCTTTCTTTTTATGTTCTTGTCTCCCATTTTGCTTTTTTCTTTTCTTACTTTTTTTTTTTTTTTTTTTTTTTTCTTTTTTTTTTTTTTCTTACTTTTTTTTTTTGCCTTTTTTTCTTTTTTTTTTTTTTTTTTGCCTTTTTTTTTTTTCTTACTTTTTTTTTGCCTTTTTTCTTTTCTTACTTTTTTTTTTGCCTTTTTTCTTTTCTTACTTTTTTTTTGCCTTTTTTCTTTTCTTACTTTTTTTTTGCCTTTTTTCTTTTCTTACTTTTTTTTTGCCTTTTTTCTTTTCTTACTTTTTTTTTGCCTTTTTTCTACTCTCTGCATTTCCATCTCTTCTTAACTCTCACTCTCTCTCTCCTTTTTTGCCCTAAAATGAAAACACAGATGAACATAAAAAAGTTACTAATTATTTTGTACCCTCCCTCACATGTCTCCAAGTCCATACCCCCACCAGGGGATTGTTTTTCAGCTCCACAATCCACATAGAATTGTACACATGCACACATATTAATAATAAAGGTGCATCAACCAATCTATTGTGGTTCAGTTTGAGGAATCGGAGAGTCAAGTTTATTACATTCACTTACATGCTAATTCCCTTGGGAAAGGTATGAATCCATCTTTTCTCCCCCTAGCTATGGGCAAATAGCAGGACAGACATGATTCTATAACCTTGGGTAGTAGCTGGTCTAGAAGAAGGAAAAATCTGAATTCAAAACTGTAGCCCTGGCAAAGCATATACTATGCAGTTAGGGAAAGTATCATTCGTATTGACTCGAACTTGACTACAATTGAATAATAAATATACATTTTGTTCCTCACTGGTATCAAAATTCTGAGTTTCATGCACAATGCAATCTTCAGGTGCAGAGTGAAGATTGCATTGTGCATGAAACTTAGAGTTGTGCTACCAGTGAGGGTAAAAAAAAATGCATATTTATTATTAGTATAAATTTTAGCTCTGTTATTATACGTCAAGCTCTGTTTTATTACCATCAGTACTCATTGGTCAAATTTTTTTTTATCTATCTTTGTTCATATCTATCTATATTTCTATCAATCTATCTCTGTATGAACTCAACTGTGTTTCACTACCTTGTCTTTCACCCTCTTTCTCAGTTCTCCTACCATGTATCTCATTTTCTCTCTCTCTCTCTTCTCTCTCTCTCTTATCATTCTCCTTCCTTTACATATCTGATCTAGTCTCTCACTCTCTTTTCCTCTGTCTCTCCTCAAACAGACTACTTTAAGGTTCCATTGTTATAATTTATTTCACCAGAGATTTTATTTTTCTCTGGATATTCAAACTTCACTTTCAAGGGTGAAAAAATGAATTTAAAATTTACACTTTTGAGGGGCAGTATTAAGCTTATATTGTTGATTAATATTTCTCTAAAATGTGAATGTGGACAGGAATGTTCTTTTCAATGTTGTGCAATAGAACTTGAATCCAACATGTGTAAAGTAAGCCTTCTTGATAGTATCATTGTCATGAAACCAACATATATATTTACATGATTATGTATTTTTTTTTTTGTTTTTTGTGTGTGTGGATATGGTGTATATATATTTAAACTTTTAATTTTTTATTAATTTTAACTAGGTTAAGTCATCTAATTTTATGTTAATATTACTTTGATTTCAACTCTTGGGATAACTTTAAGAGAAGTTACAAAATTTAGTAATTCCCCTTGGCCTGGAAGGGGTTTAGAGCCTTATTTGGCAACCCTCTTAGAGATGTCTCGATAAAATCACCCAGCTTCCTCTATTGTAAACTGGTTAATAGGAGAAGATAGGTTCACCTATCACTTGGGCAGTACTCCTTCCATGTTTATTGAACAGGAGAAGAGGTTTATCCCTTGTTTTGTGTTTAGGATATTTACTAATTCTTTCTTCCATGGCCATAATGATTTAACTGTCTTAACTTTTTCTGACTGATCAGTATCTGCAATTTTTTTTTTTTTCACTATGAGGATACTGGATTGACACTTTTCTGGTTGCTGATTCTGACTGGTAGTAAGGAGCCTGAACTCTTTGGTAGCACTTAGAGAGGTTGTGCTGAACAACAGTCGCATAATATTGAGGTATTTGTTGTGCCATGGCCACTTTGTATTGCCACAGATGATAGTGATAATTGTTTTGGTCATTTTTTTTTCTTCAAACAAATCTTCTTATGACAGATATAATGAAAAGAAACATTTAAACCAGTAAACAAAAACTCACCTCCCCCTCCCCCTTTCAATCTTTCTTACTCTAATATTTGTGACATTAGTTCTAATTTCTCTAGTGTTGAATCTTTTCTCTTGAAATGATTTCCAGGTGTCTTTGCACTTTTTGAAACTAATTTAAATTCTTCTATCTTTAACAATGAATTCTCTATTTCAGGCTATTTTCCTCTTTGCTGAAAAGATTTCAGCATACATATGCATGACCTTGGTGTTTATATTCAGGAAAATCTCCCAATTACAAGGGAATTATCTCTTGAGTTTCTAGATGATTCTTTCATGTGCTTTCGACTTTTGTTATTGCACTCTGTGAACTATCTCTTTTTCCTTTATCACTCTGCTTCTTCTCAGGACTGTAATATATTAAACAAAATTTCTGATAATATAGAAATAGCTCTTTCTCTACATCCATCTGCAAATATTTTTGTGTTTGATGATTTTAATGCTAATCACATCAAGTGGCTTAAGCATTCAAATGTTACTGATATTGCTGGTATTCAGACTTTCTATTTTTCCATTGCTCAGTCTCTCAGTCAAATAGAGAATTTTCCTATCCGTTTCCCTAATAAATCTGCTCAACATTCTTCTTTACTTAATTTGTTCCTTACCTCCTCTCCTAACTCTTGAAGAGCATCACAATTCTGTCCTCATGGCAATTTGGATTGTGCTGTATTACCTGTTGATATTTCTTTTGAGTCCTGTCCTGGATATGACAAACTACATCCGCGTCTTGGGTAAGACAATAAAGTACATCCGACAGCAAGGCCTCTGATCAAGAGGTTTTGAGGAGCGTGGAACCACCTCTTAATTGCTGGTGTTCCCAGGCCCACTCTGACCTGAGGGTCCTAGCTATGGGCAAATAGTTAATCCCCAAACTGGGGTCAAAACACTATGAAAGTGTAAAAACAGGTTTTAATACCAGAAATACTCTGTAAAAATATTATTACCAGCAATAAATTATTGAAGAAAAAATTATTACCATCAATACATTTTTTTTTTTTTTTTTTTTTTTTTTTTAAATATTACCAGCTATACATTTTTTTTGGGAAAAAAAAAATAACAGCTATACATTTTTGAAAAAATCATATTACCAGCAATAGATTTTTAAAGAAAAAATATTACAAGAAATAGATTTTTTGAAGAAAAAAAGTATTACCAGCAATAAAAAATTTTGTTGGCATTAAATAACCCACTTATGTTGATATGCTGTAAAACAAAACAAAAATTTCTTTTGAGTCATCTATTAGAAAGGAACCTCCTATTCACAAGACATCTTCTAATTAGGATTCATTTCATGACTTTATTCAAGATGCCTCTTGGATTGATATTCTTAACCTTCCTATTGAGAATTGTGCCACAAAGGTTTCTTCTTGGGTTAAAACTGGCATTGATGTTTTGTACCTTCTTACAAATATCAGGTAAAACCACAATTTTCTCCTTTGTTCAGCTTCTATAGCCTGTAGGAATCACTTTTATCAGGTGTATCATCTTGATAATTCTGATCACAACAGACTTCTATTTGCGACTGCTCAAAATAATTGTAGACATGTCCACAAAGTGGCTAAGTCTTTGTAAACTAATAAAATGAAGCACCATATAGACTTAAACAAGTTTGGTTCTCATGTCTACTGACCGCTCTGTAGTAGTGTGTTAAATAAGAATAACTCTTCTATCTCTCCTGTCTTCACACAATTTGAAATGTTAACATCTTCTGCAGATAAAATAGAAGGTTTCACTCATAAATTCTCTTCAAATTCTACTCTTGACTCATCTGGAGTACCTTTACCTGACTTTCCATTTAAAACTGAGTCTCTATTGAGTAATAGGCATATAACTCTGTCCATGGTTTCTGTTATCATTTCTAAACTAGATCTTCACAAAGCATGTGGATTTGATGGTATCTCTGCAATTGTCTTTAAGAAATATACTCCTGAACTGACTCTTGTTCTCTCTAAACTCTACACTAAAATGCCTTGCTGCTTCTTACTTTCTGGCTTATTGGAAATCCTCTTGTAGTTCCAATCTTTAAGAACTCAGATGAATCATTTGATCCTTCTAACTATTGGCCTATTAGCCTTCTACCTCTTTTTGAGATAATAGGGATTCTAATTAACTCAGAAATGGTTAAGCAACTCACCTTGCAGGGTCTTCTTTCAGATAACCAATATGGCTTTTGCTTCTCTAAGTCATCTGCTGATGTGTTAATTATTGCTGAAAGGGTCTATCAAGTTTTAGATAAGAATGGTGAAGCTCGAGCTGTTGCTTTTGACATCTCAAAGCCATTTGACAGGGTATGGCATATGGGTCTTCTTCATGAGTTGAAAGGTCATAGTATTTCTGGGCATTTTTTTTTTTTTTGAACTGATTCAGTCTTTCTTATCAAATCATAAAATGAAATTTATCTCTTTTAGATCTTTTTTTCATAAATGCAGGTGTCATCCAGGGCTCTATCTTTGAACCTGTGTTGTTTCTAATTTTCAGAAATGGCCTTCCAGATGCCATCAGTTCTCAACTTGGTATCTATGCTGACAGCACAACTATTTACTTTTGACTTAATAGTAAGTAAGTCCGATTGGTTTGATAAATAAAGCAGCTGCTTTATAAAATGATCTACAATCTGTTGTTAAATGGGGCAAGGAGTGACTTGTTAATTTTAACTCCTTAAAAATGAAACTACTCTCTCTTAATCATCTGAGAGAACTCTCTTTACAATCAATCAGCATGGCTGATGCTAACCTCCAGGAGAGTGACTCATTACACCTTCTCTGACAAACATTTTCAGCTGACATGAAGCGGAAAGTGTATATTGAATCAATTGCTAAGTCTGCAGCTAAGTTGATTATAATATCATGCTAGACAATTTTTTTCTCACCAGATTCTATCCTATATATTTATAAGTCTACCATTCATTCTTGCTTTGAATATTGCTGCCACATATGATCTGGTGCTCCTGCTATATATTTAGAGATTCTTGATAAAATCTAAAGAAAAATCTGCAATGTTATTGATCCTGACCTGGCATCTTGGCTTAAATCACTTTCCTACCACCATAACATAGCTTCTTTATGCCTTTTCTATAAAGACTTTCATGGTAGTTCTTCTGATTAACTTTCCTCTATGATACCTATGGACTTTATGAATTTAAGCTCAGTGCTAGATTGGCAGCTAGGTCTCATCATTTTACAGTTGCCTTGGCTAGATGTAACCATAGGTTCTATGCTTCTATATTTATTCTATCGCATTTCATGATTGTAGAACTCTCATCCGGCTTCTTGCTTTCCAGTGAAAAAAATGTAAATGTAATGTCAATCGTTATCTTCTGTCTTCTTAATTCCTATTCTTTTATTGTCCTCTCACCTTAATAATGATTTTTCTCATTCTCTTAGACTTAGTAACCTCTTGCATCTTAGTTGCTTTAATGCCTTACTTGGCTTAAAAGGATTTTAAAAAATCTTGTACCAACTTTTTCATCTACTCTGTGTTCATGCATACAGTATCCAAAAATATAAAACCTTGTATCATAATGACAGTCCTGTCATTTTTAAGGTTGCTTTATTTTTTCTCCAACCAAATTCTTCTTGCCTTCCTTTGTTCACATCAGTGGCATGCAGAAGTAGGGGTGCAGAGTGTGAAACAGCCCAGTCCATCTATATCGGTAGGGCATCCAATCAAAGAGTGAAATAAAAAATTTAGTTTATATTTAATTTGAATAAAGTGTTTATTTCATGTTTCATCTGTTTTTACATGTTTAAAATGTCATCAATTCTCATATTTCTCAGTACTTGACCCTATAGGTCACCTGTTTGATGCAATTCTTCAGGGTTCATACAATTAAAACTTAATTTCTTTTGTACATTTCATTTGGTTATTATTCCCACATAAGCTAAAATATA